CGAGAGGGACGGGAGGCCCTTAGCGGGCACGGGCAGCCGGGAGGGAGCGAAATGCGAGGTGAACAATCGAAAAACCGCGTTCAATTATGTTCTAGGGTTAATAGTTAAATTGCGGCTACAAAATGTTTTTATGTTTCATGGTTTACCGGTGTTGTAAAGAATCTCCATCAGGTCTGATCGCCTCAGCTCATAGCTACGCTGCATATGCTTTTAAAATGTGAACGTTTCCAGCTGAAAACTAGTGCATGACAGATTAAAACGCGGGGAAAACCTGGGGGAGATTTTGAAAATGCACACATGACAACTCTAGAAATACATTAAGCACGAGCGTTTGGCAACTTTGGACTCCTTTTAAAATGCAACTAGCCCCTGAAAATTATTAATACAACAGTGAGAATCTAATGGAGGTTGGAATCTAAAAATCTACCTTGATGATGTCTGCTGCTACAGTAATGTAGACATACTGTAAATGTATTTTAAAATATATAGCCCATTTAATTCCCCAGCTATAAATGGGTTTGAGAGAGAGAGAGAGAGAAGGGGAGACAATATCACTTTTGTTTTTCTTCTTCTTTTTTTTTTTTCCCCCCCCTCTCCCCAGGAGCCAAAGCTTTATGAAGATCTCATTGGAATCCAGCGGATGATTAATGTGAAGATTTGGTAGGAAATCTGGAGAGCTGTATTAAAGCTCAGATCTCAGGTTCATTTCGATCAGCCAGCCGTGAACTCTGGGCCGAATTCATTACACTTTAATAGTGCTGGGAGAGGAAGAAAATGCAATTTCTCATTCCATTAGAAAACTAGAAAATACTCTCAGCTTGTCCCCTATTAAGATGTGGCAGGTGACGGGACCATTGTGGGGGACACGGTCAATGGAATTACAGCACATTATTTTTGTTCGTATAAAATATTGAAAGGCAAGCCTGACTGTGCAGAAGTTATTTCACTGATTTGGTTTTTATGTAAATAAAATATTGAAAGTTAATTAATCCGTGCTAGAGACTAATGATTATGCTTATTATATTGCATTTGATCGCGTAATTTGCATGATTCTCGCATTGCTGCTTAATAAGCCATTCCAGGTTATAAATAATTCTGAAATTGGTTTCTAATAATGGCATGCTATAAAAAGAATGGTTTTATTACACCAGCCTGAAAAGCAGAGCAATATCAGACGTGGAATTGGACTCCCGTTTAAGCACCAGCCGCTTTAATAATTATTTAAATGTATCATATACATTAAATGTAGATCTAAAATGAGGAAAGAGGTGATTTATCCTGGCATCTAAAACCCTTAAAAACATATACAGCCGCTATAAATTAACTATTTGGAGTATTCCTTAATCAGCGTGGAGCCCACATACTGCAAGGAATGTGTAGGCAATCTGTTAACTATAAAGAAAACTGTAAAGTACTCGTATAAGAACATAAACCAATTACTATTTAATTTAAATTTGGTCAAGGAGCAGCGATACATCGGATTGTGAAGTAAATACATTTTACATAAATTATTTTGCCTTAGATTACATAATGTTAATCATTTTGAAGTGTTAATTAGGAAGGTTATGTTGATCTGATTACTTTTTAAACTACAGAACATTATTGTAAAAAATATTTAAATTGCCACTCTATTAAACTGTTTTATCAGCAGTCTCGAGCTATTAGCATCGGTTTAAGATTATGCCGAGGCCGTTAAAACACTTTGTCTTTCTTCCTGCGAATTTCTTTGATGTGCTGTTAGAAAATAACTATTTCCATTTTATATTTTATATTTTACTTCATTTACCACACTCCTAATATTGAAATTGGTATCATTAACCTTTGGGAAACCCAATAAAGTTTAATAGACCTCGTTTTCTTTTTTCATAGAGTCAGTTGTCCAATTATATTTTATTTGTGAATCTAATTTCTTTCTTAATTTAAACTAATTATAGCCCTGTGTAGGCTGAGCCAAATTGTTTTACTTTTCGAAAGCGGACGTGCGTTTTCTGTCACGTCCGAGGACGGGGTCGGTGTCCCCTCGCGAAAACCTGCGTTTAGGCATTTCTTTGGACGCGCCTTTCTGCAGCGGAGGAGCTTCGGCCGGCCGGGGGGACTTGGGGCACCCTCTGCG